ATAGAATAGAATAGAATAGAATAGAATAGAATAGAATAGAATAGAATAGAATAGAATTCTTTATTGGCCAAGTGTGGTTGGACACACAAGGAACTTGTCTTGGTGCAAATACTCTCAGTGTACATAAAAGAAAAGATACATTCATCAAGAATATAAGGTACAACACTTAATGATAGTCATAGGGTACAAGACGTGTTGTATTTTTAAAAAATGTTAAGCCTATCAAAATCTGACTATAATTTTCCCATAAAGGATACGCCATCATTTTTCTCAATAAATGGCTTTCAAATTACAGCAGCAGGATTCTACGTGTTCGACAGAAGCTACGAGATGCTTACTTCTGCTCCAGATTCAAGCAAGTACTTTTCAATCAGCTCATAATAAAAGCCAAAGGATCTAATCCAGCATTCTATTTCACACATATACATTTTCCAACATTGGGAAAAGTGGACACTGACAGCACAGATCTGCCTAATCTTCCTTGGTACCCTTTGCCACTTCTGATGGCTAAAGTCCACATTTTAACTATGAATTAAGTAAAGGCTTGTCTCTGTCCCTGAATCTTCCTGTGTTCAAAGCCAATGGATGACATATTTTTCAGCACCAGCCATGATGTTATACATCTATATCACATCATCCCTTAGCCATCTCTGCTGTTAAGAAGGGGCAAATTGCAATAATCGCGCATCATATTTCTATTTCTACAACACTGATTTTTCTGACTTTTCTGTGGCAGCCAGAATTTTACAAACTATTCTAGAGGGTTTTACTATAGATTTATGTAGAAGTGTTGCTATGCCGGTAGCCAGGACAACATATTAATAATACATACTAATATGTTTCTGCTCTTATTGATAGCATCCTAGCTTAGTTGCAGGATTGATCTGCCATGCGCTGTGCTTCTTCAATTCACATAGCAACAGTATGATGCTGCTCGGAGGCATATGTAAGTCACTGTATAAACTGAGATAAAGCAACCCAAAATACAGATGCTATTAAGCTAAGATGTGACAAGAAGTTTTATTTTTTCGGCTGGCTCATCACTGTAAAATGAGCCAGAGTTGTCCTAAGGTCACCCAGCCAGTTTCTGTGCCAACTGCAGGATTAGAATTTGGGTTTGCTCCACTTCTCATCTAGTTCTTTAACCACTAGATAACACTGGCTTTAGCACACTTGCATAAAAATTTAATTAACTACTTCTTTATTTATCAAATGTCTACTACTGTAGTTTGAACGCATTCCTGAAAAATTAATACTAAGCAAAACAGCAAACACTGTAGATTTTTTGTACCTTCCAGAAGAGTGAGGTCACAAATATAAAGACAATAATTACTGTTTATCTGAAACTTTTTCTTACAGATTACATCCCAACTTATCTAGAAGGAGGCTTTATGGGATGCCATGGTAAGAGAGCAGAAAAACATCTTAGCTCTTCCTTCCATATTTTCCAAGGGTTCAAACATTTTCAAATACTAGATTGCTTTTGGGTTTTTCAGCTAAAACTCTCAAAATAATAATACAGATAATTTTGTGAGGCTCCTATGTTTAGTCCATGCTGCTGATGCAGAAAATCCTATGTGTTTACGCAGAAGTGTTGCATGGCTAAGACTATTATCACACAGGTTTTTTTTACCTTAAGAGCTGTTTGCATTATCTGTCTGTTTGCAAATCCAAACAGTAATTTGTTACCTTGACTGGTAAGTTTCTATATAAATACACAAACCCACCTATATCTCTTTGAGTTATAACCTGTACTTTTTATTGTGATTTTGTTATTATTTTAAACATGTATGTATGTATAAAATCATAATAAAATCACAATAAAAATGCAGGTTATAACTCAAAGAGGTATAGGTAGGTTTGTTTAATAATCATGTTAAGCGTAGTTTTATTTGATGTTGTAAGCTGCCCAGAATCGAATTGCATTGAGATGGGTGGCAAACAAATGTAATAATAAATAACATTTAAAAATATCTGGGCTTGTGGGCACAGCTGTTCTGTTGCTTTCTGCTAAAATAAGCTATCCTTTCAGACTGTACATACCTTTTGTTTCTCAGAATGGTTGGCTTGCTTAGCAGCCTCTGCCACCAGCTGATCATACTGTTTACGTCCTTTATATTCTCGTACCCGCTTTTCATGTACCCAAGCCCTTTCAGGCTGGTTGCTAAAGAATTGAACATGATATTCTCGTGCACCTGGAAAGAAAGAGGGGGGAGGGAATGTAAAGAAAACATTTGGCTAAGAAATTCCACCACACAAATTTTTCATTCAGGGAAGTATACTCTCAGACCTGCGTGAAGTACACAGGCAAACTGTAAACATTCCCCTTTTAACAAAAATAATAACAATAAAAATAGAAATGCAAAAACATTAATCACTTCAATTGTGACCTTTAAAACTTCATCAGGTGTCAGTATGCAGGTGTATGCTGGTGTATATATATATGAAAAAAAAAAAGAATGTAAGGAACCCCAAGTGCTATTGTTTTAGACTGTCTATATCATAAGCCACGGTGGCGAAGTGGTTAGAGTGCAGTACTGCAGCTACTTCTGCTGACTGCCGGCTGCCTGCAATTTGGCAGATCGAATCTCACCAGGCTCAAGGTTGACTTGGCCTCCCATCCTTCCGAGGTGGGTAAAATGAGGACCCAGATTGTTGGGGGGGCAAGAGGCCGACTCTGTAAACCGCTTAGAGAGACGGCTGTAAAGCACTGTAAAGTGGTATATAAGTCCAGGTGCTACTGCTACCTCTTGATTTTCATTTAATCAGAATCTTGATCTAACCTGCTCATTTTGAACTATGAATAATAATAGAAGAGTCAGTCAACTTAGCTATTTGGATAGTTTCTGAAATAACAGCTCAAGCGTTTTTCTTTACTGACCTCTCGTGTTAATTTTAGTATGAACTTCCAGTTGAGGATCTCTTGAAACCATACAGGGCCACCAAGGATACGTCCCCACTTTGGACCAGACAAGATCTCCCACCTCAAACTTGCAATCGCTTGTCTCTTGCACGGAAAGCGAAGCAGCAACCTGCTGTGCCTATATGAGAATCACACACACACACACACACACACACAGAGAAATTACATCGTATGAAAGTGAAAGGTGTTATTACACATAAGGTATTCGGAGGCAGAACATTATGTGGCATAGGTTATTGAATGTATGGATGAATGCACAGATGAATTAGTCCACATTCTTGCACGTGGCATATTATATAAGAATAGATGATGTTTTGGTCTCCTGTAATCTTTTGCCAAGGCAGTTAGGATGTTTCTTGCAAGAGTCTCTTTCTAAATATTTTGGGCCAACAGGCTTCCAATAATTCTGATAATAAAATTCTTTGTCTTGAGGCGTACCTGATTTAATAATGAATGAATGAACGAATGAATTCTTTATTGATCAAGTGTGATTAGACACACAAGGAATTTGTCTTGCTGCAAATGCTCTCAGTGTACATAAAAGAAAAGATACATTCGTCAAGAGTCAAGAATCATCAGGTGCAACACTTAATGATAGTCACAGGGTAGAATAAGCAATCAAATCATACTAGGAAACAGTCAAGATAAATCGTAAGGATACAAGCAACAAAGTTACAGTCATACAGTACAATACCATCTACAATTAAAAACACAGAATACTAACCGGGGTTTCATCCAATGTTGCCATTTCTTCCCTTGGTTTTTCAGACTGGATGCTAAGCCTTTCATTTGGTCTCTATAAGTTAAAATAAAAAAGTTAAAAAAACCAAAACAAAACCACAGAATGAAATAAATGTAGGACTGAATGATTACCAGTGAAAACATTCTTAGGCACAGTAGTATGTCTTCCAGTCTCTTTTGAAGCTCCATTAATACTCTGTTTCGGCTAATGTTTTGGAGATTTACAAGAAGACAGAGATAAAAGTAGTATGGAACAAGAAAGGCTAGAGCATCAATAAGTACGTACAAAGGACTAGGGAGGACATGATAGCAGTATTCCAGTATTTGAGAGGTTGCCACAAAGAGGATGGGAGGGGGTGTCAACTTATTTTTCAAAGCACCAGAGGGCAGGACAAGAAACAATGGATGGAAACTAACCAAGGAGAGAAGCAACCTGGAATTAAGGAGAAACTTGCTAACAGTGAGGACAATTAACCAGTGGAACAGCTTGCCACCAGAAATTGTGGGTGCTCCATCACTGGAGGTTTTCAAGAAGAGATTAAACAGTCACTTGTCTGAAATAGTATGGGGTCTCCTGCTTGATCAGGGGGCTGGACTAGAAGACCTTGAAGGTCCCTTCCAGCTCTATTCTAATTGAGCTCAGGTGGTACCTACCTATTAAATTTTTTTCTGACTATAAGCAGTTTATATTTACTGTTGAGGTGTGTGAGGAAGTTGTTCAGTTTTTCTTTCCCGTGTGGCCAGATTATGAAGGTGTCATCTACGTATCTACGTACGTTGCCTAGATATTTCCAATCTTACGCAGGAGAAAACCCAAATAACCAAAGATCCACATACAAATACCCGCGAGAACCTCAGAAAACAAATATTGCACCTCTACGGGGAGGAAACCCACCATCTGACCAAGACTTATGAAAAACTTAAACACATCCCCACAGAAACCATCATATGCGGAGTTGAAACCAGCCTGACCAAAACCAACCCTGATGATGCTAATAGAATCAGACTCGAAATCACCAACATCCTCTGCACTAGCAAACCACCCAAAAGCAACTTATCCAAAGAAGAACAAACTGCACTATGTAACCTGAAAGAAGACACCAGCATAATAATCCTACCAGCAGACAAGGGCAACGTGACAGTGGTTATGAACACATCTGACTACCAAACCAAGTTAACCAACCTACTCCAAGACCCCACATACAAACCCCTAAACACAGACCCTACCACCTACCTAGAAAAAACCACCAGATCCAAAATAAAAGCCTCCCCCATCAGCGAAGAAATCCAGCAAAGAATCATACCCAGAGAGAAATCATCCAGATGCCCTAAGCTTTATGGTCTCCCCAAGATACACAAAGAAGGAACCCCACTTAGACCAATAGTCAGCTCCATAGGCTCACCTCTACAAAACCTAGCCAAATTTCTCGCCAAACAACTACAGCCCTATGCAGAATCCATCAACTCACATGTAAGAAACTCATTCCAGTTCATCGAGATCATAAAGAAACAAAACTTACAACCCAGCGACCTACTAGTGAGCTTCGATGTCATATCCCTCTTCACCCAAGTGCCAATAAAAGAAGCCTTGACAGCCATCCAGAACAAATACAACCCCCCCAAGCACATCCTAGATCTGACCAACCACTGCCTATCCAATACATACTTCACCTACAACGGACAAAAATACAAACAAATAGAAGGAGCACCCATGGGATCACCCCTCTCACCTGTCATCGCAAACCTCTACATGGAACACTTTGAAACACAAGCTCTAGAAAAATATGATCACAAACCCAAACTCTGGCTCAGATACGTAGATGACACCTTCATAATCTGGCCACACAGGAAAGAAAAACTGAACAACTTCCTCACACACCTCAACAGCCTATACCCCAAAATACAATTCACCATGGAAACAGAAGCTAACAATCAACTTCCCTTCCTAGATGTCTTGGTATACAAAAACCCAATGGCTCCCTAGGACACACCATCTACCAGAAGAAAACACATACAAACCGCTATCTACACGCACTCTCACACCACCACCCAGCACAGATCAATTC